GTCTAATGGCTTTCTTAGTGTATTAATGCTGTATTAATTCTTAGATAACCATTAACTGTGACTTGGACCTTGGAAAGATGTAATAACTACAGTCAGATAATGGAGCAGAATAGAAAACAAGAGTGACATTTCAGAACGTGAAATCGATGCTTTTTAAGATTTTTCTGCAGACACCCAGCTCTGTGTGAGCTTATCTCTGCCCAGTAAACCCCTTCGCCCTCATGACCCCATGTGTTATAACAGATAAGAATGGCAGCAAGCATACATTCAGCCACTTCCACAACAATGAGCCATAAACAAGATGTTTTCTGAGGCTTGTTCAAGATCAGTTCAGTTCCTACATTAAGAGACGACTGTGCACAGGGATTCGCAAGGACGAAATTCTGGGTGCAGTTTTGTGAACACATCTGTTCTTTTCTTCTTTGTCGTCGTTGCAAATGTTTAATCACATCGCCACCTTCTTCTTCTCTGAAAACTTTTGTCTGCATGAACTGGGCTTTTAAAGTCAGGAGAAAGTAGATCTTGTCATCTTCTCTAACTGAAACTTCTAAATGCAGCTCAAGTATGGGAACAGAGGGCATTTACAGCATTTATAAAGTCAGTAAAACACACAGATTGAGCATTTCTATTTTTGTTTAATCCTTATGTTGTTGCCTTTCAGACGTGTCTGCACTCTAACTAACTGATTTGTAGTCACTGGGTACCATCTGCACATACTTGGAAATGCTTTCTAATGATATTGTGAACAAGAAGCATAACATGAAAGATATCGAACCTACTACAGAAAACTACAGAAAGCTCCATAGCTAATATTAGTGTTTGAGGAAGACTTTATAAGAACAATTTGGAATCTGTTAGATTAATATGATTCAGACCAGAGCATCCAAGTTGTTTTCAGTGAGCCCAGCTGAAGTCAGAGAGAGGGTGATGATCATTAACCCTATTTAATGATTATTTCCTCTGTTTCTCTATCTTCTGTTTGCTCATCACTTCAGAAACACTGAGCATATAAAACCACTAAATAAAAAAAACACAAGTTGAGCATTTCATGTTGCATTTGAGGTTGACATTGCTGCAGACCTAACTGTAAATTAAAGACTGTAGATGCTTTTCTTTTCATTTTCTTTCATTTACTGTATTTTTAGTCACAACAGCAGTTGTCTCAGTCTGACACAGTAAGATAAGGTGCTACAATGCTGGAGAGAGAACTATAACAATCAGATCATCACATTTGAGCAGGACTGTGTTTTAGTAGTCCCCCAGCAGCTTGAGCGTATAGCAGCTTAACTAAAGGATGGCTCACGGTCACCTGATCCAGCCCTAACTGTAAACTTTATCAAGAAGGAAAGTTGTAAGTCTAATCTTCAATGCAGAAATAGTGTCACTCTCCCAAATCCAAACTGGAAGTCTGAGAGCCGAGTGCTCTGTTGGGATAATAGACCACTTGGTCTCAAAGGAGCAAAATAGATGACCTAGTTTTTCAACATCACTCTGAGACAGGATGTTTAACAATACCGCACAAATGGAAAGAGCAAGGTCTACAGATTTGGTTAGTTTGTGAGTTAAAGACACGTCTTGGTCAGAAGTGACTCCAAGTTGTTGATGAACAGAGATGGGCAGTAACGCGTTACTTGTAACTTTTCATTTTCTTTCATTTACTGTATTTTTAGTCACAACAGCAGTTGTCTCAGTCTGACACAGTAAGATAAGGTGCTACAATGCGTAATCAGATTACAGTAATGCATTACTGTAATCTGATTACTTTTTTCAAGTAACGAGTAAAGTAAGGGATTACTATTGCAAAATCGGTAATTAGATTACCGTTACTTTCCCGTAGGAACGCTGCGTTACTGCGTTACTAAAACCGTGATTTTTTTGTGAGAATGTCTCACGACAGTGACGTAAGCAAGTGCGACATTTGTGACAACAGCTGTGTGCAGATCAATAGTGGATCATATATCGAGTGCGGGAGAGAGTGTGAGCGTGCAGCTTTTAAAGCTTGGAAGTACTGACCTTACTTTGAGTCTGATTCCATAAAAAGTGACAAAAACATTAGTGTCCTTTGTGCGTGGGAAGAAAACGTCTTTTAACAGCAAAAAAAACCCCTAAACTTCCAAACAAGCACCGAGTGTGCAACGACGTAATGGGAAACTCACAGAGAAACTCACGGATTCTTCCACTGACCGCTGCAGCACACCTGCACCAGGGTAAACCTCCGCCTACCCTACTCCTGCTTTACAGGTGAAAATAGAGCAACAGGACCGATAGTCTGACTTTATTTATTTTCTACTGTGTTTTACTTGCATCTATTTGAAAGAGTGAGTGTAAACACAAAAAAAAAAATTATTTTATGTGCTGGAATGTGCAGAAAATAGGTTTAAATGTTAAATAAATTTCTTCCAGTCAGAGAATGTTGCATATAAGTAAATTTTTGCTTGATGCATAAAGTTAAAAGATTAAAACTAATAAAACAAGTTTTAAAAAGAGACTTTTCCATTTGATTACATTTTGTATGATGGATTAGGTAGAAAAAGTAGAATTGGGCTGAAAGATCTATCGCTTTATCACCTCTTCAGGTTGTAAATCGTGTTTTTAAAAAGTAACTAAGTAATTAATTACTTTTGAAAATAAATAATCAGTAAAGTAACGGGATTACTTTTTTGGGGAAGTAATCAGTAATTAGTTACTGATTACTTTTTTCAAGTAACTTGACCAACACTGTTGATGAATCCCAATCTGCTGCAGACAACAAAGGCAATGATGGAAAAGATTTTCAGGTTTTCAAAGTTTTGGGAGATCTAATCAAGTGTGCAGCTTTTTTTCCCGTAGTTTTTGCGCCATCTACATTTGGGTCAGTGTTGTCATGTACCTGTTTTTATTCAGAAATTGCTTTTCTCCACAGTGAAATTCTCCATTTGATTTGCAGATTGAATGCTTTCAAGAGAATGAAAAGGTCATGGCGACACCAATACATGAATGTATTAAAATGGACACCAGATAAAAATCAGTATCGATTTAATTAGAGCAGAACTCTGACAAAATAACGGAAACATCCCATAGTGTCTGACGTTTATACCAAGTCAACTTGTTGATCCCAGGTGGAATGATCTGCTAGGCTGCTATCTGCATAATCAAACTCAATGACTTTCCTCTGCTGTGATAGGTGAAAATACATGATCCACTAACTGGACTTTGGGCCGTGCTGCTGATATTTTATCCATCCAGCTGTCCATCCATTTCTTTCCACTTCCTCTGGTTTTTATGCACTAGGTGACCTGAAACCTGTTAGGGGTAGAGTTAGAGTTAGCACCTTAAACTATTTGGCAAATCGGCTAAAATTCACTTAGGATACAAGAATGGCATCCACCTACCTTAATATTAATTTGTTTAAATTATGATCATGAAGGCATTTTAGTTTTGTGTTTAACAGGAACATGTTAGGAGGTCAGGCACAGCAAGTGACCCATGCCTATTAATGACTATTCATGAGACCTGCCACCACACAAGCTTTGACTGAAATTCATAAATACCACTGTAGTTACTATAATTGTTGTTACTGACATCAAAACAGCTACATATGATATAATGCACTTTACTACACCATAAGGAAATGATTGTCTAGAATTGCAAGGACACTGAATTGGGGTCCTGGACGGTGGTAATGTTGCTGTTTATAAAAATAGAGTTTCCGTTTATCTGAAAATAAATTGAATGTAAAAGAAAAAAATGACAAAATAAAACTAGCGAAAGAAAGTTTCAGAAAATATTAAGAGCTGTTCCAAAACCAGGTCTACTTGAAATAAAGTGCGTGGTGTAAGTAAACAATGTTGATAATCACATATAATGATGACAAATGTGCTGGGTAATGTAGCTTCAAAATGATGTCACAAGCATTAATTAGCGGAAACAAAATGAGGGGCTTTTTTTTTCCAAAATAAAGTAACTTAACCGTGTTACCTTGCATGCAAGCACTAATTAAAGCTCTGCTTTTCCACAATGTGACCATGTCAGTAATTTCCATCCAGTATTTACTCTCATGGTCATATAGAGTACAGCTAGCGAGTGCTCTGGCGCCACTCTCCTTAGTAATTAATTTACATTTGGGTAGCAGATCACCAGCTGCTAGCGTCTCGTTTTTTGTGGCCTGGTTCTGCTCGTTTATGGCTATTTGCTTGTGAAGTGGTGAAACAGGTTTGTTGTTTCCACCTTTAGTGGGAGCAGTTTTCTGCTCAAGTATTGAGTTTTATTCGAGATTGTTTTAATAGTTCCCTTTTTTTCCTACTAAACCGTCAATGGAGGCTCACACGTGGCTCTCACTCTTATCCATGACTGAGCTTGTTGTTATGTATGCTAGGGAAGCTACAGACTTGGTGTTGCCATATTACTGATCTTAAAATGTGACACGTTTGTACCATGTAAGAATTTATACTGGTATATAAGAGGATGGTATTATTTGGCAAAGTCCTAATTATAATAATGGTTACCAGGCTTATGATACTGTGTGGTATATTACCATATTTTTCGGACCATAAGGCGCACTGGATTATAAGGTGCATTAAGTGAAACAAAACAGTCAGATACGTCAAGCTTTAGTCAGCTTATTCTTCTTGCTTCCTCCACTTCCATACCATTGATTCATTAATGTTGAATGCTCTTGCAGCTGCTCTATTCTCATGTTGTTGCAGTATATTAATGACTAACCTCGTATTGTGGATGGATTATCTCAGTTGTCTCCTGACTGAAGTTTGGTCCATTTACAGTATCCTGCCATGTGATTGCATTTGTCTCTAACCATCAGGAACCCTCATGTTAACTTTTATCAAGTGGAAAAAGGTTAGCGTTCATCCTCCAGCTTCACTGTGTTTATGTTATGCTAACATAGCTGTGTCGCTAGCGATCACATAGCACATCATTATATACCAGCTAGCCCAACTTCAGTAACCCTACAAAATTCACTGCTGTTTGGTTTTCTGTCTTCATTTATGCTGGAAGTGATAGCAGAGCTGTAAGTTTTATTTTTTTCAGAAATCTCTCAGTCAGAACATGCTATATCATGTTTAGGTGGAAACTAGCTAGCTAACTTCATACATACGGCGCTCAGGATTATAAGGCGCACTGTCGATTTTTCTCACAGCACAAAGGGTATATTTTTTAGAAAGTAAATTGATGCATTTTATTTAAAATTATTTTTTTAGCAAGTGGCTAAAAGGCAATGTGGATTTTAAGAGTTTAAGAGCCTTGATCTGTCCTAACAGTGACTCCACCAGTTAGCTTTTTTCTTTGTTCGCTGATCTAATCAACTTTTACACTGTTTAATCATCCATACATTAAGATGGACATATGAAGCTGAACCACAGACTTACCTGAACTGCAAGGTTATTCTCCCAACTGGCAACCATAGCCTGACAAAGGGCACCTATTCTGTTCCTTTCCACCTCTAAATGTATTATTGATGGACCCTACTGAAGTAGCTATGTGTTATTTACAGTTTGAAAATGAAATATTGAAAAAAAAACAAAGTCTTTTCCACAATAGATCCCAACCAGCCTCAAGAAGAAGGGAGAGAGATTTAATTTTGAGCATCTAAAGAACCTGAAAGTATGCCAGATCTGACGTGCTAACTCAGATGCTGTCTTCCGCTCATTCTCTGTCTGAAACAACCTGTTTTAGCTCTTTCCTCTTTGAGGCACTTCTTCTGATTGGCTGACACTATTAAAGTGAAAGTTTGACCAGCAGGCAGTTCTGATATGGCAAAAGATGGCCATATCAGGGATACCCACTCTCTGTGACATTAGAAAAAAAGAAGAAGAAAGAAACAGCATCCTAAAGCCTGAGCATTTGGCTCACAGGGATTAGTTGTACAGTCACTGACCTCGTTATTTAAAAGCAACGCAGGTTCACTTTAAAAGTATTTTAGAGGACTGTTCTGCTTCCAGAAAACTGGCCTGTGCCCGACTTTCAGTGCCCTGAAATCTATAGTAGAGTCATGAAGTATTCAGATTTGTTGATTAAAGTTGTGTTATTACCTTTTTCAGTTATTAACTTTACCTAAATAAGTTTAAGACCCCTTAAACAACAAAATCACGAGAGCACACACTGTGTTTAAGGCTTTCAGCTCAGATTCAAGCTGTTTCAAGCAGACTCCAATTTTCTGGCTGTGTTCATCAAAGATTGCTGTGGGATTGGGTCAACATGGACATGCAGGATTATATAACGCTGAAAACCAAACATAACATGTGAGTTCCTGTGGATCGAACGCCCCTGTCCATTCAGATCTATATTTCCTTTGTGCGTTGCCCAAGGCACTGTGATGGTTTGGTGGAAAATGGAAACCACAGAGCAGCATACATCCTCCAGATAAGACTTATCACTGCACATGACAGTTAGAACCGTGGTCACAGAGTGACAGAAACATGTTCTTGTACTTTACAGGGATGTGAACACAAGTTAATTCCTGGGAGGACTTTCAGGTCTCTTCTTTGGCTGTTAAAGGGTTGGCATTAGTGCTTGAGCAGCTGTCATTTGCAGGCTGTTCAGCCCCTGGTGTCTGTTCACTCCAGCATGGTCTGCAGATCAGCGAGCAGAAAAGTGACAGCATTAAAGTCAGACGTTTTCATTGTGGCCTGTGCGCTTTTCTTTTGAAGAATTTACACTGGATTGTCGGAGCAGGTCAGTGATTTGAGGATTTTCTGTCTCGGTCTGAATTCAACATAAGGCAGCCAGCTAATCCCATACACTGTGGAAAAAAAAGCTGTTTAGAAAAAAATAAATAAGACAAAGCACTCGCAGGCTGACCTTTGGACTCTTAAGTAAAGCTTGTATCGCTTACACACACAAACACACACACATACACATGTCAGGCTGGAAAGAAACAGGTCATGCTGCTCTGATTAAGCTGTAAAGGAAATGTACATGAATCCAGAACTGAAAAATAAATATATAAGGCAGCAGCTCTCAAAAGGGTGAAAAATATGGAGCGCAATTAAAGTCTTTCTGGAACAAACTCTCAATGCTTGGCAACCATCTTGGTAACACCTCTTGGCAATTATTTTGAAGCCTCTATATCAGTGGTTCCCGATCTTTTTTTGCTAGCCCCCCCTTTGTTTTACAAGAAAATCTTCATGATGTTGCGATGCTTCAACCTCTGCATTTGTGTGGGAGCCGTGTCAAAAAACCTGTCCATTATGCTAGCAGTGTTGTTAACTTGTACACAACTTTGGTGACAGTGTAGGATCAAGTGAAGAAGGCCCTGGTAACACAGGCCTACAGACTGGTCCAGGATCAACTCATAATCATGGTTGCTAGGTAAAATGTCATTCCTGGGCCGGTTAGCAAGAAACTCCTTGAGATTGCTGATCAGCTGAAACACAAACTGGAAATACAGACTTCAAAGTAAAAGCTGAGTCTTTTGAAACGTGTTTGATAAAACATTCATTATGGGCGTTCTCTGTTTCCAGTTTCCTACTGCTACTTTTTGAGTTTTACTACTGCTTGATGATTAGTAAGCAGTAAGTAAGTGTTTGCACACAAGTCGGCATCTTCCTTGTAAATTACTGGCAAACTCAGCACCTCTTTGCAAGACGATTTTACCTAACGACAGGCAGCAGCCTTCAGCAAACACCCACCGACTGATTGGGAAAGACACATTTTTCCTTCGTCACCATTGGTTGTATAGCACCCAATATGGAAGACTTTTCCCTAAAAGTCTCAGCTTTTTAAGCTGTTGCAGGATTTTCCTCTCTTTAATTAGAGGGATATATCAGAGCTTCTGTGTGGATATATCACTGAAACAGTGAAGAGCAACCTGACTTTGAACTTATTATGCACTTGTTATAAAAATCAAGAGATGCACGATTGGCTGAAAACACACCAAAATGTGGTTTGTGCCAGGAGATGTGATGTCACTTGTGGCGTGAACCACCGACCACGAGGGCAACAGCAGCGGGTAGGACGAAGGCTTTACTTTCTCTGAGGTTTTAACTAAAACCATCACCAACAGGGGGCAGAATTTCACCAGTGTGTGGTCGGTAGATGCCCGCCTAATACAGCCCCCCCCCCTACCGCCCACACTACCACACTACCACCCACCTCCTTTGTTGGGCTTTTGTTGCTCTTTAAAAGTCATCAAGCTTTTGAGCCTTTGTCAGGTTTGATAAACTGGATGGCACAGTGATACATAAACTTGTGCTCCCTTCTTTAAAGTCACTACACGTTTATTTAGCCCATATTTTACTGCTTGTGTTTGGATGTAATTAGAAACTTAATTTTTAAAGGTCAGCGCCTCGCCTGTGGGGAGCGCAGCGCCGTGACGAAGCAGCAGCAGATGCAGTAGCCCTATTCTTTTAAAGTAGGAGATAAGGTTTAATTTAATGGCTTTTTGAATGTCTGCTGCAGCCCGTGACCACTTTTATAAGCTCACAATCACAGGTTTGCACAGACACAGCAGCATGGAAACATTTAATTGTTTTTTTGTGTTTTTTTGTGTCTCACTGGCTGCATACCTGCATGTCATCAGAATGAGAGGATGAGAAACACATAGCAACTTGCCACGCAAGGAGAGTTATCTTTTTCAGTCTTCATGACAATGCCAGGTCGGGGTCAGGTGACCGTGGAGTCAGCACTCCTTTGATCTTCTTTGGTCTTCAAAGCTTTGAGGCGTGTTTGGGCTCATTATCCCAGTGCATTTTGAATCCTTCTTCACAGAGATGCAAACCAGAGGAATAACAGAGTCTATTTGACTTTAATCTTCCCACCAGCATGTTTCACTCTGCATTTGATCCCCTTAAGACTGGGTGAGTAATCGGGTCTTTAATTTCACTAACAATTTCTAATGAAACTGAAAGTGTGATAATCAGGATTAAAAAATATATATTCTTTTTTAACCACAAAGCTCTCAAAACTATCAAAATTAGCCTGCCAAAGACTCCAATCTTTCCCACTGGACAGCTTTGGAAAATGTGAAAAAAGACATAAATTTTAGACTTTTAACTGTATTTTGATACAAATTACAGCTTGTCCTGCTCACCCACAGTCATTCATACTACAGTAATAAAAGTAAGAGACAAACAAGCAAGCGACAAGAAAGTTCTGATTTATTGTAACAGGGATGTCTAGGCAGTGAGCTACAACAAGTCTTTCAATAATTTTTCACGTCTTACAATTTAAGCCCAAAGAGCCGCGCTGACACATTTATTTAATTTCCTACAGCAGCTTTTCATTATCAGATCGTAAAACTGAGGCATACTGTTGAAATTGCACTTGTTTTTCGACTGCCAAGATATCTCAGGGATTGCAGTTTAACTACTTTACACTGACAGAAAGGGGAGTTTCACCAGTTAGGATCAAAGTGCGCTGCATATGGATCCCAATGTAAAATTAGTTTGACATCCCTGATCTAGAAGAAAGTTTCTGTATGCAAACCTGTTACATACAGTTCTCCAGTAGTGGAGCATTGCCATAGGTGATGGTTGTCAACTTTTCACGGTGCTCCCTTTGTTTCTCCTGCTGCTACCTGAGTCTCTAGTTGTGCCCTACAGTAAAGGCCCCTTCAGAGTCAAAAACACCTGTTAGCCTGACCTTTTTATCCCCATCCACCTTCGTTTTTCTTTAAATCATCATTCAAATTATACCTGAATTTCATGCAAATTCCCAGAAAGGATGTGTTTTTAAATGATGTTAAATGATGTTTTTAAATAAAATGATGTTAAACTGAAGATAAAAATGTTCAGATAATTATAATTATGATCTTTACGATAAGCCAGCAGACCTCTTGTGTTATTATTCTCTTTCTCTTTATTGCCTCTGACTGGGATTTAGTCAAGTACAGTGAATATTAGTTGAGTGAATTATGTCAAAAGGAATTTTTTTCTCCATAGTTCACTGTGAAATGCCGGTTCATGATATTTAGCCTTGTTTTCCCTTTTGGGAAAACTTTCAGAAAAGCCCCTCGTCCTCAGAATCTGCTAATAGGGGCTCACTTTTTACTATTCACTGTTCTCTCTCTATTTGGTTCCATCTTTATTAAGGTATGACAAAAAATAACTAAAGAAAGGAAATGATACCTGACTTCAGTGTGTATACATACACACACATGCGGAGCGTATATCTTTCTACACATCCCTGTAACACGTATAACCAGAGCAACAAATGAAGCAGTTTCATCCTACAAATTGAGCATAAAGTTCAGAATGTCAACAGAGTGATGCTCAACCTTAATCCTCTTCAGATCAGCTGATCTCAGTGCCTGCCCACATCAGCTGATTTCTCGTCAACACATCCCATTGGTAAATCTCACACAGGGAATACTATTCAAGCTGCTTTTGTCACAGTCCCATGGTTCTGTGCTGTTTGTCACTTTTGAATTCCCTTTTTGTTTTCAGTAGTGCTTTGGACACGTTACATTTCAGTTTTTTTGTAGTATTTAGAGAAATTCTGATTCAGTGTTTAATTAATAAAATAATAGCTTATTAAATGATCTACAGCTGGGCTCTAACATCTTTGCCTGAGACAAATTGGGTATTAGGAAGAATTCAATGATGAGTGGACCAGCAGCTCTTTTAGTTTTTAGCACCTGCAGCCCGAGGGAATGACTGCTTTCACTGCCTGGGATCACACCGCTCAATATGTGTGAGTGCAAACAAGCAAAGTTACTTTAGAGGGCTGACTCACAGCTCTGCTCTGAGCTGGTGTCCTGTTTTGTGCATGTGTTTCACTGCATTTGTTTGTGCAGTATGACGATTGCAGTGCTTGGAAATGGAAATATCAAGTTCGATTTGATAAGAAGGCAAAGACGGAGAGGAAGACGTGGCACATGCTCTTCTCTGATTTCCTCTTCCTATTTTGCTGCCATGCTGCTGATCACCTGTTTGCATATCGGTGCCTGCTCCACCTGCATTTACACCTGATGGTCTTAAATGACAGACTCTCAAGCTTTGTTCTTTACCTTGAAATGAGGCTTTACTCTGTAGGTATTTAGGGGTAGTTTAGGGGGGAAATGAATGCAGGTTTAGGGTTATAATAGTTAACCTTCAGATTTTCATATAAGTCACACTTATCTGCTCTCTTTCTGTGTCTGTAGCCCTGGTCCAGAGGAGAGAATATGTAGAAGTGCATAGAGGTTAACATGAATATGTCTCATTTAAGGTCATCTTTTCCTGTTCTTGTTGGCCGAGCTTCATGAAATTTGGCATAAAGTGTCCTTAAAAATTTAAGGGAGTGGAGAACAAAAGAAGAATTATATACAGCAGATGGGCAGTATCTGAAAGTCATGTCCTCAAAAAACAGGAAAAAATCCAGCAAAGACCTGACGCAGGACCTGAGAGATGCATCTGGGTTTTCAGTTGATCATCTAGTATTCATTGAAGCCTTATCTGAAGTGGTCTCAGTGGAAGAGTGGCTGTCAAGGAGCCATTCTTAATGAAGGGAGACAGGGAGAAAAGGCTGAGGTATTAAAATTGAACAAGAACTGCACTGTAAATCAGTGGCAACAGGTCTGATGAAGTGATGAATTCAGATTTGAAGTTTTTTGGCGTAAATCATTGTCAGTATGTAGGGAGAAGTTCAGGAAAGAAGTACAGTGAGTGTCTACAGCCATCAGTAAAACACGGTGGAGGCTCTGTCAAGGTTTGTGGTTAAACAAATGGTTGAATTAAGAACACAGAGATGTACCATCACATCTTGATTCACCATGCAAAACCATCTGATTAGGAATGGCTTCATTTTTTAGCATGACATGGATCCCAAACACTGCCAATGCAGTAAAATCATACCTGGATAGAAAAAGTCAAACTCTGTTTTGATTTTATATACATTATTTCCATGTATGCATGTATGTTTCGGTAAATCACAGGATCCATTTTTCTTGCTCAAGACTTTTTGCACAGTATCGTACTATATATATTGACATCACCATGGGAGTCTACAGAACCTAGAGTTTCACAGACTTCCATATTAAAATGTTCCACTTTTAAGGTAAATTGAACATGTTTACAGTCTGTTTTTTGTTTTTCTTGTTTTTACAATGTGAAATTCTTTTCAACAAATTTACAGGTTTTGCACTTTTATAAAAATCAATCGTTTTCTGTAATTCGGGGCACTTCAAATAGCAGGTTCAGTGCAGGTTCAGTTCGATAGCCATCCACTGGGTTTTGTCTCTGCTAATTGGCATTACTTAACTTATCTTCTCAACCATGTCTGTGCTGTTGGTTCCTTTTGGACCATGTTAACAATTAATATGGCTTGCTCTGTGCTTGATTGAGGTTAATTATACTAACAGACAATCCAAGAAGCTTTTGCTCCATTTTAGCTGTTGCACGCATTCGAAAGGACTTAGGATTGACTTTACTCACCACACATTGTTGACCACAATTTGTTATGATGCTTCCTTTGAATTACTACAAAAATATTTCACTTACTGACCTAGAATTTCACTCCTTTATTCTCTAGCACAAATTTCTAGCTGCTGGTGCATTTGGAACAGTCTAAAAGTACAAAGGTTCAGAATTCAAATAGTGTGACCCATGTTATGAAACAAGCATTCCAACAACAACACCTCCTGTTTGGCACTAACTTGTCGAACCACTATAATCGTGTTTCGCACCACCAGACATCTCTCACTCGCAGCTGCCCAGTTGTGATCTCATCACATCTGTTGAGATGTATGTTAATGTCAGAGGGTGAGCTAACGACTTAACTTCCTAAATTGATAAATAGTGTTTTGGTGTCTATTTTTTACAACAGAACCAAGATAATCTGATTTCAATTCCCCCTGTCCAGGAAACTTTTTAAATGTATAACTGGATCATAACTACCACATGAGTGGTCATTAAACCAATCATGCGCAGAGCTTCCACATGCTCTTGCGCTGAATTCCTCAGAAACATAATTAGATTTCATATTTTAAGGTCAACAGCATGTTCTGGGGAAAATACACAATTATTTTTTCCTTAAATATGATAACAGTGGTCATATTATGCACTCGACTCCACAGTCCATGAGTTTGTCTCGTGTTGCAGAGTCTTTCCCTCAACTTACGAATAGTAAATTAACTATTAGATGTAGAGTGATTTCCTTCTCTCAGAGACACGTGTTTGTTTGTTTTACTACAATCCACATTCACGGCGTCTTACTCTCTAACTTTTAAGGCCTGTATCTATCACGCAGGGCGACTAACTCTGCCTCGTCTCCGCTAATTGGCATTACTTAACTTATCTTCTCAATCGTGTTTGCGCCATTGGTGCCTTTTGGAGCATTTTAATGCAATTACCCAACAATTAATATTGCCGGAGGAGCTGCAGATCAAACCACAAAGCTCCTGATTAGCCAAGGCCTAGAGATGGGAGCCTTAGCCATGCATTTTACAATTGTGATTTTAAAAAAACCCAACAAAAAAACCCCAACACATTTAACCACCTGTGGCATTGATTTCCATTAAATAAGGCATACATGAAATACAGACAAAGCAATAATTTTTCATTTTCAGCAATGCTGTACTCTACTACATGCTACATAAAGTTCATAAAAAACTTTATGTAGCATCAAACATTAGCGTATTTAAATTTGGCCAATCCCCCGGTCAAGGACCCCATCAGGTTACTTCTGCAACTGCAGTCTCCCATCAACAACTTAATTAATGTTTCCTACATAAGGCTGCTGAGTAGAAAATTATTATTATTGATAGTACTGAAAAGAAGAGACAGCGTAGTGACTGACATTGATTTTACCCAACGACAGCAGTTGAGTGACAGCTTTGCCAGGGATACAGCAAGACCACTTGGACAAACCTGCATTAGAGCCAGTGGGGAACTGCCTTAGAACTGTACTGTTGAACTGTATTGTTTCTAACAGCCAGCAAAGGGGGAATTACCTGGTTTCAAAAAGAAGTCAGATTGTGCAGAAGTTTCTCATGATTTATGCCTTATTTCCTGATAATGATGATGATCTATATTTGTTACACTTACATGTTTCAGTTCATCAAACAAATTTTAATTTTGGAAAAGATAAGCCAACTAAATATAAACTGTAGTTTTTAAACGATGATTTGATTTATTAACGGAGGAAAAAAAGCAATCTTAACGTATCTGTTTAAGGTCATGCCAAAGTCTCTCAATTGGATTTAAGTCCAGACCCACTCATGTGTTTTGGGTCATTGTGCTGCTGCATAACCCAACTGCACGATGGTCAGATGTAAACTCATTCAGGATTTTCTGATAGAAAGCAGAATTCATGGGTCAATCAATTACAGCAAGTCGCCCTGAAGCAGCAAAGCAGCCCCAGACCATCACACTACCACCACCATGTTTGACTGTTGCAATGATGTTCTTTTTATGAAATGCTGTTAGTTTTATGCAGATGTAACGGGACTCAAACCTTCCAAAAACTTCAGATTTTGTTTCATCGCTCCACAGAATATTTTCCCAAATGTCTCGGGGATCATCAAGATTTTAGTGGCAAATGTGAGATGAGCCTTTGTGATAATTTTGGTCAGCATTGAACTCCAATACTGACTGATGTTTACTGGTAGGGTCGTCGCCATATCTTTGAAAAACATCAGGTTTTGCAGTGAATTTAGGGCCCAGATATCCAAGTTCTGTAATAGAGTTGGATATTCTCTTAGGGCACATTAGCAGTCAATGGCACATTGTAACTTACAGTATAATAATCTATTTTCACTTGAAACCGGTGTCTACTTTGAAGCACAAAGCAGCAGCATCAAAGAGTTTTTCTGTAGTTCGGGAGCATGAATGAAGAGCAGTGGACATTCCTCAGTTTGTGCAGGACCTCTAAGGCTAAACCCCAAACAGTGAGCCAGAAAAAGACCAGTTCAGAGAGTCACATGCATTGAGCTCATTTGGCACATTTCCCTCAGGCTTTTAGATGTTTTCTGCATGACAGGAAGCTGTAAGTTAGCTAATTGCTCAACAGTAATAAGATGAAGATCGAAAGAAATCTGCTCTAGTCATAAAAAAAAAGATCCATGTGACTGATTAGCTCACAGTGGATGTGAGGATTCTCTTTGCCGTCACGTTTTTTCATTGAAACTGAAATGATGCTTGTTTTTCAGTGGTAATTATAGTTCACTAGTGTGTAGTGGCAGACAGGGCAGAGATGCTGAGTCAAAAGATGTAATATTTTTTTTGGAAAGTCTCAGAGCTCATCTAGCAGCTATAAATCGACGCTCAAAAGAAAACCAAGCACAGAACAAAAAGATACAAGATAATCACAGAGAGAAGTGATATAAACTCACCACAACAAGATAAAACAATTTCACAGAAACATAAAATAACCACAAATAGTTGTTAGAGGACACTAAGAGAAGCAAAGAACTAGGCAGCAACTACAAAAATGACCACAGATGAATTGAAAAACACACAAAGAGGCACAAAATGACTTCAGAAAAATGTGAAATAACCACAAGTAAGTGGAAGGAGACCACAGCGACACCAAATTACTCTAGAGGGATACATATCAGGCAAAAGGCGCAAAGGAGCTACAGAGAGACTCCCAGTGATATCAACTGACCACAACATGAAAATAAGATTAAAGAAACATTTTCAAAAAGACACTGAATAGACATAAAATGACAGCACTGAAATACAAAATGACTATAAAAATGCCAAAGACACAGA